CGGCGGTGGCGGCGCCGACGTCTGAAGGGCCTGTAATGCCGCCGCCATGTCTCTGACCTCTTTGGCCAGTTTGGCCTTCTCCAGGGCTGCCGTCAAGACCCTGTGTTGTTCCTGGAGCGAGGCGAGGTGAGGGTCTGTGTGGTCAGACTGTTCCGTCGTCTCCTTGGTCGACTCCGTCGTCTTTGGTGCCTGGGGCCCCTTGCAGTACTTGGATGTTACTCCGTCTGGATGGTCTTGTGCAAGCAGGCCGCAACCTTTGCATTTGCGATTGCGTTTCTTCGGAGACGGCATGACGGAGGCAAACAACGGAGCAGCAGAGAATTTCGAGAAGCGGCAGCCGGCCGGCTAGGCGGAGTGTGGTCTGTGCCACGCGATCCCCGGCACGACATTCAGGCTGAACCAGGGACCGGAGTTAATTAAAACTGATTGTTATCGTACAGTTGTAGGAAGTACCCTGCTGTGTTTCCCTGAGTCAGGGAAAAAATCGGTTTCTGAGAAGTGAGGTCAAGAGTTCTTCAAAACTTAAATGAACTTATGGTCCATTTTCACATAAATAACTAAGTATATAGAACCATACTTTCATGAAAGTTCATCTAAGTTAGTAAACTACATGAAGAAAAATAAACTGTTCTCCAACTCAAAAAGAAATTAACTCACCAGAAATTTTTGAAAGACTGAGCGATTCAGTCAAAAATTTCTTTTTGAGTTAATTTCTTTTTGAGTTCACTTGGAGAACAGTTTATTTTCTTCAAGAACTATGCTTTGCATGCAAATAACAGTTGTATGCATTGACTTTTAAATCAGCAAAGCCAGTGGCAAATAACACAGCATACTTATTATGCATAATACGATCAGTTAAAAATTCTGTTCCAAGTTACGGCACGTGTGAAGTTAGGGCATCCCCCATTCTCAACAAATGTGACTGGGAGGATATTTAACTAGCAGTCAATGATGATTACTTACTATCAAATATCGATGACATAATATGATAGGATGTCATCATTATTCTGTACATCGTTATTGGTCATGAGCATGTATTGTTCCCCTGCTCTCTCTCTCTCTCTCTCTAAGTGTGCTGGGCTCTCAAACATACAGTTTTTTTATGCCTTATCTTTACTACAAGGAAACTTGAGAACAAGCTTAACGGAACGTACAGTGTACACTCGCATGCGTACTGTGCTCAACAAATCCTGGAAACACCACTCGACTAAAGCAGAACTGTATGGAACATTACCAACTGTGTCATCTACCATACGAGAGAAAAGGGCTAGACTTGCTGCGCATTGTTATAGAAACCAAGATGAGCATGACAGTGAACTCTTGATCTTGGTACCAACACATGGACACTCCAGCGTCGGGCGACTTCATCGGACCTACATTGACCAGCTTGCTAAAGATGTAGGGGTGAGGGCTGAACATCCTGAGCAGCTAATGGCAGATAGAACTGTCTGGAGGGAGAGATTTAACTCGGTCCGGGCAAGATGCCTGACATGATGATGATGCTTTATGCCTTGGGATCCCCCATATATTGCGCCAGTGGCTAATTTCAAGCACCATTTCTCATCACTGAACTAAATTATATAATTATCCCTTCTCGTAGTGTCCAAGATGTGGGATTGAGTACATTATTTGTCTGTCTTGTCTTTAAATTACTGTAGCCTAGATAAAAACACTCAGACATTCAAAGATTAAGATTTTACCATGATTTTGTTTCCAGTTTTGTCATTGATTAAATCTTGATTTTTGTTTCTGTTTCCATTGGTCCAAATTGTATAGACTGCCAGGCTTGCTTGCATCCTCAACTCGGCAAGTGTTTGGGAAGCATGGTATATGTACTGGCAGCAGGTTGTGAGCAATTATGCAATAATGATTTAAAAAAAACACCATATTATCACCAGTTACTACATTGTACCATTTGCCCTGATCTCTGCCTTGTCTACATTCCTATGGCAACATTTGTCATTGTGGTCAGTAGACCAATTCCACAGCCCTACCCACCTCCCGCCAACACATAGAAATGCAACTTGAAAACATAAATAAAATGCAAATATATTACGGACATGCAGCCATTCTCTCATTGCTCAAAAAAGATAATACCATGCAATCATTGGATAAAGTATTGACCTGCTAATTGTGATTGACAGTCAGCATACAGAGTTAACATTCCTAAGTGTACAAGTCTGAACAGCGGTGGCTCAAATCAGCATTCTTGCCCATGTACGACAACAGATACCAGTAGTTGAATGTAAAAATCCTCACTGTAAACATGTAACCATGACAGAATCCTCTCCCACCACTCTTAAAGGTTCTCAAACTAAGCCAAAACAAGTCATCAAGTCAGAACAGCAACAATTTCCAATCTAACAAAAAACTGGACAATATCATGAGTCATTGAGTTACTGTACAGTAGTTTGCATTCGGAACGTGGCTGGTACACACCTCTGAGCCAGGACATACCAATATGGGACATACAACAATTACTGCTTTCTCTGCTTAGCACGAGAAATAATAATTATTATCAGATACTATCCCTCACAATACAAGATTGGCAGTTTGAACACACATCACTCTCAGTGGGCTAGCCAAAGAGCTTACATTGTAAATGTCATAGATTTGGATCCTAGAGAGTGGTAACCTCCCAATATATACACCGAAAGGGGTGGGAATGAATCTAACTAATCCAGCACAAAGAGTAAGAGTGCCTTTAAGCATTAACTGTAAAGTTGTTAAACTAGATCTACTGTTGAAATAATATTACGGTAACCTTATATGATACCAGGGGGTTTACCTTAGCTGATGGCTTAAGATGTCAAATTTTCTGTTGATAATATCAAATATCCTTGAACCACCCAGTATCAACATGTACAGTGTACCACTTTCTTGTTCTATGCTGGTTATGAACTAAAAAAATTAAATGTTATGACCATGCCGTGTGGTGGCATCGTGTGTCAGCTCTGTACCCCAGTGCCCATAATATCCCATTTTAAGTGTTGAGAAACTTTGGTACAAAGTGCAAGTTAAATGGCATATTCAAGAACGCATCAGTCCTACCTTTGTTCTCGGGCTTGTTTTCCTCCAGCAGTGCCTTGATGGTGTCGTGGATGTGAGACAGGGATGACTCTTCAATTGTCTGTTCTTGACACTTCTCTGTGCTCAGGTCCCTCCGTTCAAACTCCACATGGTACCTGTGCCATATCAACAGGGTTATTTAATATAATATGATATTGCAACATTTTTAAAAGTCTACAAAGTTTTAAATATTAAGTGTTTCAAGTCTTGGTATAGTTGATCAAACAGTCATGATTTATACTACATAGTATGTTACTCAATAACTTGTACCCGACTAGACTTTCACACAAATGGAGTGGGCTGAAATTTCTTTCAAGAATCATGTGCTGGATGATGTTAAAATAACCTCATCGACAAGGTTGATATGTAATACCGGTAGATATTGTGCTAAATGATGCTGTATGCCTACCTGCATCCTTCATAAAGGTACTGTGTCAGTGTCCAGTCCACAGGAACGGTTATGACTGCCCCCTGGTCAGCTTCTGAGACCTGGAGCTCATTTTCTGCAGCCACCACAATCAGCAGGACGGGCAGTATGATCACAGTTAACACGCCCATGGTCACACTACCTGGTGTAGCTGGACTCAGGACTCAGCTAACTGTTACACTGTACTAGCACTAGGACCAGAGTGCCAGATGCAGTGTCTAACTTCTTCTTACTGTTGTAACCCAGTGACTTCTCACCACTCTTACAACATCAGTTGAAGAAGTGGAGAAGTCAGCTTGAAGTGGTCCTCTGGGGCGTAGGTTTGCCAGACTTTTATAGGAAGGCTAGACTAATCCCCTCAAACAGCTATTGTTTCCGATTTTCCCACCAAAAATTCCATTTCTGCCTAGCAGTAACCTTGTTTCAGGACGTTCTTGTGACTGGAGCTTACATGTAAGTCCCTACTTGCCACCTTTCCTAATTCTGTACTTAACTTATCCATGCCTTAACTGTTCAATAGGGTAAGTAGAGACTACCCTGTGTGAAAATGACAGGGAAATCCTGAGTGGTGATGTGGGTGTAGGCCTGATCTCAATCATTCTACAGTCAATGCAGTGACCACATTAAGGACCACCTGGCCACTGTGACTACTTTTTGTGGTGGTCCCTTATTAGATAACATTTTCCCTTTGACACAAGTGTTAAGAATCCCGTCAATATTGACCACCTATCCACAAAGACCACATTTTATCAGTCCCCCTAGTTATCTTCTTGAAGTTTTGACAGATTGTAACATTACATCAAAGATGAAGGGTTCTGTACAAATGTATGTGGAACTAAAAGTGAAGATACTCTCCAGATGGGATAAAGTACTCACACGACAGTAAAACCAGTGAGTTAGTCTCCACCAGGCTTTCCCCAATTTAAAAAGTTTAGTGAAATTGCCGAAAAGAGGGATACTTGATAGGGGCACCAAGGTTGCAGTGGATAACAATTCATTCTGTGAGTTAGCAGTAATAACAGTATGGCCGGCTAACTCACAGATTCTGCACTAGTGAGCATGGTTTGTACAAGGTCAAAGAAAACTAGGCTCTGCCACAATATACATGGAGTTGTTCATTCCTGATCAAAGTACACAATCATAATTGCCAATGGATATGCCAACTAAACCACATTCACAAGTTTTTATCTGTTGTCACCCCAAGATGAGTTGCATTGGTAGCTGCATTCTCAATGCTGGAACTGTTTCAAGTTGTCAGTATTTTGCCCTGTTATAGAATTTTGCTTTGTTGATGTGTTTGTGATTGGTAACCATGGCAACGTGAGAGACTCAGTCAGTGTAAAAGATTCTTTTCTAGAGTTGAATCTCTAACATTGAATGTTTGAATTAGCTTCAGGTAAAAGGCATTTACCTATTTAAGTTTTTTTCACACGAGGACTTCGGTAATAAATTCCTATCCTTTGACATCATTGTGCAATCTCCAAAGCTGGGGTACTTTGCTACCGGGAAGGGAGTTAGACTAAGTCTTTTCATATGTCTAATGCTTGGATTATGTCGTTCCAACTGTTTCAGTTACAATTACGTTACTTTTCTTTCCTTCAACAAAGCTTTCACAATCTTCTTGGCCAAATTGCTTGAAATCCACTTTCAGTCCTGATGGCATGCTAATGGTAATTGTGGAAAGTTTCACATTCTGAAAGTACATGTAATGCTATACACATGTACAGTGTGAAAATATACTGATCTCTAGAGATCTGGATCATACACAATACAATGAAATCGTACATCACCCACTGTGTCGACACAGCTGTACAAAGTACCCATCTGACTTATATAATAGTTTGCTGCAAAGTACAGAATGGCTTATGCGTTGGGTGAGGAATCTTTCATGTGTCAAAATCAAAATTAATTTTATTTTGCTGTCTAAACATGTATACAGTGATACATGACTTATAAGTTACTACTTTTAGGGACAGTGAGAATTATAGATAAAACTTTCATATGCCTTTATATTACAATGTACATTTATCAAGTATTTTGACAACAGTATTTTGTGTGTGTTTGTGTGTGTGTGTGTGTTAATGTGTGCACATGGAGTTGGATGTAAAAATTTTTGACTATGTTTTGCTACAAAGCAGACACTTAAATCTACATTTTTTACTTAAAGACAAAAACACATCATGATGGTAACTTTGATGACATGTTGTCCTGTAGGACCTTCTGTGCTGGAGGTGTTTAACACATTGTTACGTCATCTGCGCCTGTCCATCGACTACCAGCTGACGGGGAGGAGGGGCTCACAGGGAAGCATCCACAAACAACCAATCAACGAGGAGGAAGAGAAACTGTTCCAGGAGGCCATCATCACTACTGTTGGTAGGTTAAGGAGTGCATTGGCTACCAAGTCTGTATTGTTAGAAGATCGTATGCATCTGTATCTGTCTGTATCTGTATAACCGGTATAACCGCCCTTTGGTGTAACACATGCAAGTTTATCTCATATACATGATCCTCACATGCTCAAGACATGTGACTCTCTGGTATGATATCCTCACCTTTAGCACACCAGCAGTTTTTTTCATCATCTTTACTTCCCTGCAATACTAGGGATCCTGTACAGCCCTTTGCTTTCTCTTGACATTGTACAATTTATCTAGTAAAACTGAGTTTTCCTTTCCTGTACTCTGTCAATGAAGATGTGTCTTTCTTTCTTAGGTGCATTTGCCACTATCTTGCCAGACTACCAGAAGATAGAGATCATGATGTTCATCATGGGGAAAGTGCCAATCCCTCCACAGGACGGAGACAGCAGCATGCTCTCAGCACGGGGAGTCCAGGGGTATGGTGTATACAATCAATCAATCTGTAAAGCAATCAATCAATAATTCAACCAGTCAATCAATCAAATCTATTGCACTGAAATTGTAGTAGATAGAATGTACATGTATGGCAAGTTTGATAAACAGTACTAGCTATAATAAGTCTACTTTCTACACAATTCTATTCATAGTGAACAGGAACCACATTTTTTTTGGTAACATTTTACAATTTTAAAGCTCTCTGTTGTTTCATCTTTCCCAATCAAACCAATCAACTGTCACTTTGTATACTTTTCTTTCTCTCCTTTCCTCTCTCTGTGCCTTTTCTTTGGTTTTCTCTGTATCCTTGTCTACCTTTCACACTATTCTTTCTTCTGTCAAGACTGATATACTTCCAGAACCTGAGACCTAATTTCTCTCAGTGAGTAGAATCTGCTTTGTTGATTATTTTATTTTTTGAACATGCTATAATTGTGCCTTTCTTGTGACTGTCTTTAGGATTCATTGTGGCCCTTGCTGGACATGTTTTTTTTTCAATAATTACAGGCATTTCTTATATATATATTAAATTTAGTTACACACTTCTGACAGTGATTTTTGTCAATAGCTGCCATATCTAGAAACCTGGTAATGTTACAATGTAGCTATCAGAATGATGTGCATTTTTAGTCCCCTACTATGCTCCTTAGATAGAAAATAGTACCATTTTTAATTTTTCCTTCTTAATTTTTTCTTCCTGTTCTATTATGAAGGCTTAATAACACAATTTTCTGTCAATACTGAACATTGTGCCTTCCCTTCTAGGGAGGAGGGGAATCTGCTGTTGCAGAATATGCTGCTACAGAGCTTACACCAGGTAACTTCTCTAACAGTTATTCATTCATCCTGTTAGAAAAAAAAATGAAGATAATCAATATTTTGCATTATATAAACAGCGAGGGAAAAATGGCAGGGGGTTCAGGTCATTTTATATTGTACCACTTAATTAAATTATATTTAAGAATTACTGAAGAAGGGATTGATAAACAACATGTGTACTGTCTTGCTACCCTCCAGTTTAATACTGCATTACTGTATTTCTTTAGTAGACCATTAAGCCAGTGCTTCAAGTTTTCGAGATGCGAGATTGACCTGTATTTCGATAACAATTGATAATTGTAATGTGATATAATGTACGGTGTGACATGACATGTACATGTACAAATGTATAACCCATTCCCATGTTGTACAGGTGGCCCTGGCCTACACGTCCGTCTCCATGACGACCACCTTCTCCACAGCGTTCCTGGACCCCTTACTGCGAGTCTCCCTGGTGGCCGACATACGAGTCCGCCTGATCGTACAGCAGATTCTCCACACCCTCATCGATCGCCATGGTAACTGTGAGAAGTTAGAAGAGATCAGGTGTGTTGACGGACTGAGTCAAGATGTCCTAAGATTGCTCTTAGTTTTGCCTTGCTTTTTTAAACAAAAGCTGCTAAGAAATGGTTCAAACATTTTGTGATTGTTACTCTTGTTTAAAATCTCATTCAAAAGTATCAGATATTATGCATGACTTTGCAGAATACCCAAGTACATCAGTGACCTTGATCTGAAGGTTGAAAAGTGTTCCAGGCAAGACTTGGCCTTCATGAGAAAGGTAAGTTCTATACAATAAACTAGATACTTTCTGCTTATCTTTAAAGTGAAGGATTCATCATCATTATTCTGTTTGCTTGGAGTAACGATTTACAATGTATGCATATTGCAAATTAAAGCTTTCTAGAATTCTATCTCTATGTTCCACCTAGTAGTTGAAGTCCTCTCTTTGACCTTGAAGAAACTTTTGTTTACATAAACCTGTAACATGAAGGGTTGATTTTCTCCCTACAGAGTGTTCTACTGAATGCCACCTAATCTAATCTACCTTTCTATAACCAGATTATAGAGTTAAGCCTCCTTCATTTCCCAATTTGTAATTATCAAATCTAGGCTTTAAACTTCATCAAGTGGGCTTAAGACTGGGATAAGTGAAGTTACAACTTAGTTATTCATTTGTTCACTACTTACATTGTATGGTTGACAAATACACACGTTAATGCAGAAAGGGTGTATTAAGTTAAAATTGACCATACCAAACAAAGGTTTGCCTTAAACAATGTTATATCTATGATTTTGTGATCATCTAATACTTGGTTACTAATTTCATAGTCAAGCTTAAAGTCTTGTCTTTTTCTTGGATATTTTGTCAGCAAACATTTTAAAGATACAACATTCAGACTTAACATCATTATTGCTAGAAACCCTATGAAGATATGATTTTCATACATTGTGAAATGTACAATGTACAACATGTAAATCAATTTTTTCCCTTTCTGCAGCATGGCCCCCAGTTCTACTCCATGCTGTATGAGAACCTCCTGCAGCGTGACAACAGTGATGAGAACTTCCACGCCATCTACTGCACCATGGCCCTGCTGTGTGTGGAGCTGGGAGGGGAGGATGTCCTGGTGGAGCTGCTCAGACTCACACTCGGCCTACAGGTGGGGCATTTACTATTATATATACATAATACTTACTCTGAACTGAATATGGAAGATTATTGTTTATTGATTGATTGATTTTGCGCTCACGAATAAAATAAAATGTAACATTATTGAAACATATGCAGACATGCATGGGAGGCCGGAAACCTGGTGGTTTATCTTTAGCCTTCCCCAATATAACAAGATTAAATTTTAAAGATAAATTGCCCTTATTACTAAATGAACCAACATTTAAACGAAGAATACAAAAAAAACAGGAAATAAACCAAGACAATTCAAAGAACTAACTAATGAAATTATACAAATCAATCATCAAGATGTTGTTTGACTCATATTTTACTTCCATGTATGGATTACCTGTAGGAGATTGTCTGCAAACCACAAGAGGAATATGACCTGTCAACTGCACACATCTGTAAGCTCCACGCTGTCCTAGCTGCATACTTGAACCTGATCAGTCAGCTGACGGCCATCCCTACCCTGTGCCAGCATGTCACCCAGGTATGTCATCTCACACTTTTGGTAATGTTGTCTAGTTGTAAACTCATGCCCAAAGGATAATTGCATTTAGGAAACACACAATTTAAACTTCAGGCTCTGAGGTAAAAATGTCTAGTCACCTCTTGGGGTTGGTAAGATGTCCATATGATGTATACTTTCATCAAATAGTGAAAAAATTATTAAGTTACAAAAAAAACAGTGCACCAACATTTGGAAACAACTCTTACCAATGTGACCACCAGCTTGTTTCTAAGCTTATGTTCTAAGGGGTCATAAAATTGATACTGCATCATACTCATGTACAGCATGTACATTGTGTAGTATGAGGGATAGACTTTAGATGGTAATGCATTGTGCAGTTGTATGTGCTGATCGTGATGGAGTGTGTAAATTGGATTGGCCTCTGACAGACAGGCTCTTCCAGCAAGTACTCATCCCTCCCTCGGGGCCCTGTCATCAACAGAGAAGACAGTTCGTACTTCTGAATATTTTATAACACTTAAATGTATATAAATGAATTATGAGGCCAATTGTCTCGTGCCTTGTTAAGGCTTTTCACCCCACTCAAGGGCTAGGACAATATGACTTTTTTGGCACAGCACTTTGAGGTTAGACTATTCCATTTCCACATTTTGGGGTATATGTGATCATCAGTTATCTTTTTTCACCTCTAAATAAATACCAGCATAATTTGCTTCATATGTGGCCTGTCCATGGTAGTTAAAAAGGACACATCAATGATTGTTTAATTTGAACAATAAGGTATTAAGTGACCCATTGCAACATTGCAGTATACATTTACACCATCCCACAGTACTAAGATTACAGGGCAGACAAAAGGATGCTTGAACCTTTTACTGTCACCACTTTTGCTCAGCAGCAACTCGACAGTTCAATGTGCCTGTAGATAACAGTGGTGCATGTCTAGACTGTGAGGATTTTGAATGTGAAATTCTGCAGTTCTCTATCTGTTTTATCATCATCACTACAATGGTAAGGTTTTGAAATCAATGTTCAGAGGCTGTGTTTGCTATCCCTTTGGCATGATTTACATGAACATAATGTATTCAAATAGTCTATTTTTGATATTGCACCAATAGTTTTGTAACCCTTGAATTTTAGACTGTCTGAACCTGTCCAACAGTGACTGACTATGTTGCTTTGGTTTCAACTGAAGAGTGAATCTAACTGGTACATGTATCCCATAAATTCCTGATGTGAACATAAATATTGTATTGTTATGATGTGATGTTTTCAGGTGTTGGAGACCAGGAAGCAGGAGGCACCTTACTTCTTGCCTGAAACTGCCTTCATGGAGGGAGATAGCCTGGATCAGTAAGTGATACAGTCATGATGGAGTCAGTGTTGAGATGGCTGTCAATGGTTATATTTGCTGCAGGGTTGGCATGTCATTCTATAATGAATCACAATATACAATTTGTACTTACCAGCCGAGTATGTGTTATGTTCTTGTTATTGTAGATAGTCATAGACTAAGTTTGGACTAGAAATTTAATACTGAAAGCAGACTGCTTTAAGTTCATTCTTATGTGAATGTATTATCTATATGTGCAATAATTTTCATGTAGTTGTTATTGACCAGCTTTGTAGCTTAACTCATTGGTATTATTGGACTCTGAGGAGTCATTTACATTGTCTTGGCAAGTGTAAATTCAACATCGTGATGTGAAAGAACTCCAGGGACTAGGATTTACTACTTTTCCCTCCTGCCATCCTGCAGTGTGACTCTGCCAGACACTGTGGACACAAAGTTGTTGTTCCACCAGAATGTCATCAATGAAGCCATGGCCAGCAGCGGGCACGAAGTCTCCAGACTGTCACAGCCATTTGTTCCTCTTAGATCAGGTCAGCATGCCCAGGGAAAATGAGCCATTCATAAACAGACTCATAAGTGACTGGAAATTATTGTTTTCTTCAAAGTTTTTCAAACTATTTGAAGACCGTCTAGTACCCCATCAAATGCAAATAGATATGACAATACATGTATGTACTGTCATCACCAACTCAAATGATTTTTTTCCTTGCTCATTATATGATACATGTATATTTCAATGTCAGGTTAAAAATGAGTTTGTGACAGACAGACAGACAGACAGAACAGCACAGTGGTCTAGTAGGGAGTTCTATTCAAATCAAGACTTGGTCTTCAAAGTTTGAAACAGAGTTTGAATATGAAAGTCTAATATAATAATTTTTTTATTATTTTTTTTTTAGATTTCCCATCTCAAAGCAGATACAGTATGGATGTCCAGTCCATCAACATTGAGATGGACCAGGTGGACACCCCTGGCAGAGAGCGGGTAAGGCATTTCTGAACATTCTGCACACAATCTGCAGGGCTGTCAAAGGTCCTCACAATTACAGAATGTACATTAGAAATGAATCTTAGTACTCTTTGTGAAAAAGAATACCTTTTAAGTGCACTATAATTGATCAAGAATTTATCATGGTTTACTTATTATAATCAAGAAGTAGATTAGAATTGTCCCATTCCTACCAATTCAATGATGGCACCCTTTCTACACTTCAGGTATCTCTTGGTAGCTTTAACCAGGGGATAGAGCATGATCGCACCCTTGAAAAGGCATTGTCATTTGTGGGTATTGTACACAACAGCATATTAGCATTGATAACATTTTTCAGATATTCCAAGTTCTTTTCTGAAGCCATTGATTTGAGGGCAGTTCTGTCTAACTTTCCATTTTATTGTTTGGAATGTCACAGGTTTGAAAAGTTTGTTGTTTGAACTTTTCATTATCATAATGTATAATATTTATTGATTCTGACACTGGCACTTGTTTCTTTCTATAGAAATTATCTTATCTAGTTATCTTATTGTATCATTTCTTCTTATGTTTATGTTTTTTCTCTTTGCCTTTGTACTACTTTTCCCTTTTGTTTCCTTGTTCCTAGACAAGTTTCCGTGCATGTTCTTTTGTGGTAAGTTTCCAGTACTTTTACCCCAGTTTCTTTCTCAATATTCAAAACACACCTCTGCTGACAGTATGAGTATCCTATACACTTGTGTTTGTGTATGTGTAACATGTGTTGTGTGTGTTTATATGTTCACATGACTATATATTATGATATGTATGAGATATGTAATATCTTGTTTCTTGTTTTTCTAATAATCAGAAACACCCAGGAGAGGAAATCACCTTTGAAACCCTGAAGAAAACCTTAAGTAAGTCTTTACAGGAAGTAGTGGAGAGAGAGAGAGGACTTATGTTTACCTTGGTCCTCCTACATGTATATAGTCTTTATTCATTGAATATAGGATTGCAAAAGAGGCTAGTTTTATGTATCATTGAAATATTTGTTTAATGTAGAAGCTATTACACCTAATAAAAAGTCTATAGTTGGTTGTAAATTTGTCATAGTTGAAAGCAGAGGAATGAACTATATGTATACACTGAAGATCCAATTGCAATAATGGCAATTATACTAAATGTACAATTGAATGTCAACTGTAATGCATGGCCAGTCACAATCTCAGTCTATCTTCCTGCAGTCCTGTCATGCTAGATAAACAAGAATTCGGAGATCTCATGCCTCCATGAAATATATGAGTTTTTTTAAATGTTTTTACACAGTACACTACAGTACAGAACAAAATAACGCAGGTTTTTGGTTTCAAACACACAGTAGCACCTTTGGCCTGGATATGGTCATGAAGGCTTTTCCCAAGGGAGAACCTCATTAATCAAACAAGGCAGGCGCTGCCTCCACCCCGCACATCTTTTTTCCCTGCCACCCCGCACATCTGTTTTCCCGGAAGTTCTGCTGCAGTACCAAGGTCAGCCACCAGGAGGCCCATATTTGACCTTGACCTTTGGCTTCCTAAGACACCTACCAGCATACCAAATATCATCACAATCCATAAAGTCGTTCTGAAGTTATGCTGATTACAAATGTGCGGAAACACACACACACACACACAGACGCGCCAAATACAATACCTCCATTTTTCATGGTAATGACCCACAAACCTGACCACATCCATGCAGCTAGATATCTAACCTGTTGTGTTTCTTCTCTACTCAGCTGAGAAGACCCCAGATGCAGAGGATGATGAAGCAAGACGACGGGAAGTTGTTGAAAAGTTCCAGAATGCACCATTTGAAGAGATAGCAGCCCATTCTGAGGCCAGGGTATGTAGTCCCTATACTTGTTATCCAACCCTTTGCAAGGCATCTTTTTTTCTTTACACAGTTGATAGTCAACAGACTATGACGTTTCCTGTTACACAGTAGTAAATTTTATTTTGTGAAAACTGTACTTTCAATGTGAGGTATTATGTGTTTTCATTGTTTTAATAGAATGTAACTATCAATTTGAAGGTTGTGAAATTTTACCCAGTGTTTTTGATGACTCTCTTGCTGAATTTCTTGTTCACAGTCCCAGCAGCTGAACAACAAGCTGAATGAGATCATGGACATGGTGTCAAAGTAAGTCTTAATAAACCCCTCCGGAAAATATGCACACATTACACAATAGATAATTATGGGTAATGACATGACATTAGCTGTTGAAAATTGTATGTAATGTATGTTCATGTATGCTCACATCTGTTCTTACATGTTGTGGATGACCGGTAGAGACTTTTCCAGTAGTTCCTCCAAACGATATCTGTACTGGGTAACTAAATTACCTTTTCAGCACCAAGGACAACATCCATTCTGTCTAATATTTTAAACTTTGACATGTTCATTGCATAGTCTTTCTTTAATCTATGAAATGTACATGCTCAACCTTTTACCTTGTTGTGCTGAATATGTCCCAAAGCATGAAGATAGCACCATGGACAGAATTAAATTTCAAGACCAGTCTTCAGAAGTGTCTTTTCTTATTTTCATCCATATTCTTCTTTTCAAGCGCAGTGAGAATGTGCATTTAAAACAGAGACAATTCCAGAGTATATAGGCTATATATGGATTTAGTTGTGTGATATTTTGTCTAACAGTTCTTGTAATCACTTGTCACCCCAGACCATCCGTGGATGCCTCAGGCAGAGTGGTGTCCCTGTCAGGACCCTTCCAAGTCAAGTCTGTTCCTGTCTATGAGATGCAGTTCCCTGACTTGTGTGTGTACTAGTCCTGCCACACTGATCTACCCTCACCCCTCCTCACAAATGGACTGATCCTAGTTGTGATAAGCTTTATTGTGTTTGGACTGTGTCACCATGTCTAAGAGGGTGTTAAACATTAAACTCATTCTCAAGTCTTCCTTCAACTTTGATTGTCTCTAAACTGCAATGCAGTTTGTATGTCTCACCTATTTCTTTCCATTACATGGCAAGTTTCTTCTTTTTGTTCCATCTGCTATAAACACCCCTCTCTTACAAATAGTAACACCTTCTATGGAAATGGTAGCCTGTGTAAATTGCATCCCACACGTAATGTTTTGTGACTGGTACATGTAGTAGTCTACTAGTGGAAACCTATGGCAACAATGACAGAAATGTTAATTTTAAACATTGTCAGATTAAATGTTGAATAGAAATCAGATGTAATTCTGGCATGTCTGGGGTACCTGAATGTATGAAACTGTCCAAAGCTCTACCCATATTTTAGCAGAGTATATTAAATGTGTAAATGTTAGTGTAATGCTCACTCTGCATGTTTCTGGTAATTTGTTCCCTACAAGCTAAGAGATCAATTAGTGCTGTATATACTGTATATGTGACCTGTATTGTCAACGTTTTGACAGTGTTCTGTGTAAAAAAATCAATGTTAACTTTGTGGTAAAAGCATGAGCAAGTTCAAATAGTCAATGTTGAAAACCTGTGTAGTCTAATGAAGCTTGAATTAAGGACCTGGAATAATTGTACATGTAACTGAAAGTGATACATTATTTGTAAAAAATAAAAGTAATAAACATTGTCTTCTCAATACTAGGTAATTGTCATTAAATGTAAAGAGAGAAACTTTATCAAATTATTAATAGGATGATATAGATGACAGAGATTCCAAATAGGTACATATAGAAGTTAGGCACCTGTTTCATGCACTTATCCAAGACAACTAGTAGTTGAAATCTTGATTGCAAGTGGAGTGAATCGTATTTTACTGATGAATGTCAGTTAGACTGGAGAGCAAATCAATAGAAATGTTTTCCCTAAATGTTGGATCTAGTTTCAAAACGAATGTTGCTACACGTATTTTATAGCACAGATTGCTATGGCAATAAAACATTGTGACATTGTAACAATGGTAGTGAAAGGATATGTGTAATAAAGAGCAATCGATAAGGTATTGCCTTTTTCAGTGATTGAATGTGGTTGATGTTAGGGTCTATCTTGTTATAGAACAGATTGCCTAAGTTCCTTTTCAGTGGTTAGTTCTGTCACAAGCTGCAGCGGGTTGAACATCCTACGACAAATGTGATAGCGAAGTTATGTGGTACGCTTGGAGTTCTGTCTTTTTGTCTTTCAGATCTATTTTATATACATGATTGCGTTTAGAGAACGTGTGCCCTATAAACTGTCCATTGGAAACTTGTTTGAATCTCTCCGAATCATGGTTAATAGACAGACCTAAAATTGGAATGAAATGAGACCGTATAAAGGGTGGATTTTTAGGTAATTTTTAATTTTGCTTCAATAGCATTCTTTGTATTTAAGTCACGTTTTGAAAAAAAATGTAATTATTTTGCAATTTTTTTGTTAGGATATCTGTACGAGAAAGTAGTCCATGCCTTCCGCTGCGTACAACCACTAACGTCTTATGCTGTTCTGTAAGTCACTTATTGCTTTTTATGGCTTCACCAGACCACGAAGTGGTCTGGTGAAACCATATTGTTTTCTCTGATGTTTCTTCTTCTCCTCCTTCTCCTCCTGCCATTTTTTTAAATGGATTCAGCTTCTTTATTTTGGGGCCTAAGGACCTGAAATTTGGTTTGGAGGTACAGTGGGCAAATACCCTTAGGCGTTTTTTTAATTTTTGTGATACAGGCTTTTAGAATGGTTTTATTTGAGTTTTTTGGCTGTATTATAGCAAGTGTATTGCTGTGTCAGTGGGCAGTGTTAACCGCATTTGGGCATGAGTCATCACAATGGAATGCAGGGCATCAACCAATAGGCATGCAGCTTTCCTCTCTTCTTCTTGCTGATTGGCTGTTGGGATTTAACTTGATTAACACCTGCACAGAGTATTTCCACCTGCACAGAGCATTTCTTGCTGATTGGCTGTTGGGATTTAACTTGATTAACACCTGCACAGAGCATTTACATACTGACAGTATGCCTGTATTCAAGTGTTTTGGTAGGTATTTCAAGCTTTCCTGCTCTAGCATTGGAATACGGGGCATGAACGTTTTTTTTTTAAATCAACAGTTTGCATTATGCAATTAAAAATCCTAACCAATAATATAGGGAATAACTAGCCAACTGTTGTAGTCTTAGTTGTATGTTACTTCATATTATAGTTATATCAATGTAAAGCATTGTTTTCCCTTGTGTTTCTCATTCTTTCCCTGCCATGTCGTAAAATGTGGTGAAGCCATCGCTGTATTTGCTCCAAAGCAAATATTGGCCTTTCTAGTTCTAATTTGATTTTTTAAAATATTTTCTATCTATCATACTTCACTTGTAAGCCATGTATCGCCGCTTTGTTCGGCCACCATTCCACTAGACGGCAATCGCTGAGCGACCAAACAATTGATGTATGTAACCTTTATTGGAATATGATGCTTCGATCTTAGAGTATTAAATACTGTAACGTTAAGCATTTTAAAAACGTTTTTGAATTAAAAAAGGAGCTGGACATTCTGTCAAAGTTTTGGTCACTCAGCAGACGCAACTTCTTGTGGAAACGAGATCTTCAATGATATAATTTTCTGCCTCAACATCTGCTTGGAGATTACCGACACGTTCCGTGAGAGTGGTCACGTCCCACACATTTCCAATTTGTAATGTGTGACATGTTACATAAGTCTGGCATCTGAAAAGATTTGCCAATCAAATGAGCTGGTAAGTCAGCTTTTCAAAGTGGTCTTTAAGTGGGGATTTGTCCATTACGCCTGCGCCACCACTGTGAACCGGGGAAACTAGGAACACAGAAAAGTGCATTGTGCTGAAACGTGCCGTTGCCTTTTTAGGTCCCGGTCACATACTTCGTGCGACCGTCATGCGGTCACAAACTGAGGGCATTCTTGAGGTAGTTGTGCATATGTCCTGAGACATCTGAGTGCATCTGCCTTGTTCCGGAAGATATAGCTACCATAGTGGTTGGTTCTGTCACAGCTTGCTTGAAAATACTGAAGCAGCAAAATTGTATAACAACCTGTATGTACCATGAATGGGACCGCGCTATTGTACATGTATGCATGGTTTTATAATTGACTTTTCTACTTGTTGACAATTTCGCAAATCGTGTTAAGGATGGCGGTGGCCTAACCGTGTTATATAAATCCCCTCTTTTAAGGCTCTTTACCTAAGTATATTACTAACGTCATTACGATCTAACCCACAGTCCTTACCCAAACAATGCCTTGCGATTCGGACACGATTTCAGGCTAAAAAGTCGGCTGGGAAAGTTTGACAATGAGGATCCTGACACTTCATTGACATAATACAAAGACCAGGGAACCAGAAAGTTGCTTTTAGTTTGTCCTCTAATTTGTCTTGTGTTTGGGGGCCAAATCTTGACTTTTTTGGACGTACTAGTCTATGTATTGTACATTATCGATTCATAGATGCGCCAACATGTAGATCGATATTGCAGTGATTAAGAACCTTGTTGTGGTGTCAACACATTCAGTTTACTTTCACAAGTGATTGTTGATTTCACAGTAGACCACACACACACACAGAAACTTGCAAAACCGACAGTCGATCATACTGTGCTGTGGGAGTCCTATCGGGATAACCAGGACACTGAAGATGATGATTAGTCAAGACACCAGGATCTTGGAATGGGTAAAATGTTAACGCGTACCACATCTCATTACCCAAGAAGTACACGTAAAACCGGCTATCGAATGGTACTAGAACAAAATGAAACAGAATCATTTCGATGAATGACATGGTAGTTTAATCTTAGTGCATGAAATGAAGATGAAATGACATGTACAAAGTACGTGGAGCAGCACACTTAGTTACACAGAACTTCCTTGAAACATTTTTCTGGCTCTTCACTCTTTTTCGGGAAGGGTGGTGGATAATTTAAACTACTTCGAAGATCAAGGAGAATAACGCACGCCTAGATTCCCGTTCGATCTTCTGGATGATTTGTGACGTGTTTGTTTGCAAAACAACATAAAAGCACACACACTAGTGAAAAATGTACAAACACAACCATACACCACAAGGTGAAGGTTTGGTGATGGTTCGCGGTGAAAAAGTTTCTGGGACTTTTCTGTTGTGCTGCGTACATGTTATTGGTATGAACATGCAGCAAAACGTGATGATTCGGCACATATATGATCTATCTCGGCATGCACGCGGAGTCAGAGATGTCGGTCTGACTCCCATGGCCCAGCCTGCCGCCTGCTCATTCGTCGTCCTCCGGCTCAGCGCCCGTGCGGACGTATGTCAGGAAACCCACCCAGTTGAACTGGCCCTTCTTGTTCACAGCCCACGGGGCTCCCGCCAACATCTTATTCCACTGCGCAGGGGTGAGAAAGGAAAGGAACAAACCATTCAGACATGTGCTACAGTAATCTTATGCAGAAGCAACTGTCGGAATTCTTGGAATAGCCATGCATATGTTACAAAAACAGCTGCGTTGTTACAGGAAAGGTTAACTTAGATCTTTCAGGTGGTTTCGTCTGTCACAGTCTGTTTGAAAATTCTACGACCTCAAACCGTGCAATGACCTACGATGAATGTGACCGTGCCCTAGGTAGACAGATCATAGAACACTTGCAGTTTATGTATTGGCTACCGTTGAATTACTAATCTGAATAAAAAGCATCGACAAAATAGCTTCGAAACACTTCAGCAATGTATACGTAGAAACCAGCAAGAATGAAACAACAGAAACATTTCCGTACCTCATCCTCTGAGAACCTGTCGCCCCTCTCACAGAAGATCTCCTTTACCCTAGGGACAAGATAAATTCAAAGAATATCAGCAAGTGCAGCAGTGAATATCATTGATATAATAAGAGAAGTAACAATTTCATAAGAGATTTATTTTGGCAACTCTCACAATTCTCATACATCTTCAAATTGTTTCTTCCAAAGCACCCATATTCCTAAGGATACAAATTTAAGAAGAAACTTTTTTTATGAAACGACTCTAAAGTTTTACAGAAACTTACGTCACTGTGTGAATATGCAATGCACGTTTGTGGGGAACTAGATCATTACAAACAAGAAAACAACTCACTTCAACTTGGGCAGAAAGCCTTTGCCCTTCGGGTCAAACTGCTTCATTCCATTCAAGAGCTGCTCCACGGGGTTGGTGTCTGAAGGGAAGATGTACAAAGAGACACATCAAACTTTGTGCTCAATATGAATCTCACGTTATCGTCACTCTGTGCTTGGTTGGAAGCCCATACTCCAATAGGACAGCTAACTAACATTGGATCATAAGTTATCACGGTGAAAATATCAAGGTAAAATTATAGGATAGATGCACCATCCCGTAGTAACTTACCCTTCATCTTGTTTCCGAACAGAGACAGGAAGACCTGGAACGAGATTGGCTCAGATGCCTCCCCGATCATCTTGTCTATCTGTTCCCTGAAGTCGTCCGGGTTCTTGCCTAGTTAGAAAACAACACATAAAACATGTTGGTTTGTTCCAGGGATGAGGATCGATGCCATTTATATAAAACACACATCAGTTGTAACTTTCTTCTAAGCTCGTGTTATTCGGGAGGGACAGGACTTTCACCATTGCGGAATGGGACTGAGGAAAATGTCTCAGAGACGGAGAAGAAAAATGGTACCTAGGAGAGGTGATGATAGGAAAATATTTGTGTAGGAGGAGGATGAAAATGCACAACAGTAGCTAATCAGGGTAGCTTTTAAATAGAAGCAACTTTATTACTCACCAAATGAGGCATACGTATCCTTCAGATCCTCCTTGTCGACGAAGCCATCTCTGTTCTGGTCCAACACTCCGAAGGCCTGGAATGCAGTACAGGGGGATATTGTTACAAGGCCGTGCTTATTAAGCGGGGCCTCCTAACGAGATATCACATACTGCAGGAGCCTTAACACCAGTGAGACGTTTGCTTCGATGTGGTATTCATGCTATAAACATTATAGTGTAGTTCGTTCCTTGGCCGCTAGTAATGCTTGTGCAAAATCCAGTCACGCGTTTCTAGGCAACCCTCATTCCGAACAACTGTCATGGCGTGGGGTGGCATTACAGCTGATCCACAATCGGTCCTATTTTTACTTGAACTCCGAACTCCCACCTCCATATGAAATAACCACTTTACCGTCACTCAGAGGACTGTACAAATATGTCGTACGTAGCACAACATTCAGTACGCTATGCAAACAAACAAACAAACAAACAAATAAAACATCAGAGGAGAAGTCTCACCTCCTTAAACTCCTGCACCTGGGATGAGTCAAACGTGGTGGCAGTAGTGGTGGCACGCTTGCCTCCTCCTCCTCCACCGCCTCCCTTCCTTCCCTTGCGACCCTGGATGTACGAAATACATGTTAGCATAGCATCACTCTAATCTATAGCGTCAAATGGACACCAGAAAAGGTTTTTCGAATGGTTCTCGTTCACTGAATGATGATAGATAGATAATGGGTTTGGCATATTATGTTAATATAATTTATCTTTATTTGCCATAATTCTGCATGTTAACACTCACTAAGCACAGTTGTAGCATTGCTTTATGACCTACACGATGTATGATACTGGTACGGCTTTGCACTCACCAGCGGGGTCCCGGCTTGGTAGCAAATACCCCCAAACAGTCCGTACGCTCTGTAGTTTTCTCGTGCATACTGGTTTACTACTTCATACACTTTCCTGTAGTTTAATTATTGCGTATTTCTACTTGTTTATTTACTGGTCTCCAAGACGGACATGTCACGGCAAAGATTCCTTCACATACTGACCAAAATATGATGCCTAAGTCGAGGTCGATAAGAATTGTACCATGTCAATGAGCTTGAATGAGGTCGGTTAACCATTTCGAAAGTCGCGTAGATTTGACCGACGTGTTTCTGTTCCATCACGTTCTGTCAGACAGGTCGCCATCTTGAGCTTCGGAAAGTTATGTACACAGAATAATCTTCTCTTGTCCGACTTGCCATATGCAGACGCCAAAAGTATCCACAAAACAGACTTCCCCATTCCATCACGAAATTAACGTTGCAAGAGCACAACACTCCCCCTTTTGCCCGTCGGAAGGCATACTTATTCCGGTGTCCTGGACATTTCAGCACGCAACTGCAATACCCCCTATGTATCGTAATGCCAAAAAAGGGCATCTGGTGTGATAGAAATACCCGTTATTTTTATACCAACTTATATCAATCGATCATGTACTGTACTTCATCGGGTTGTTTTATCCTACTACCGCTATGAAAGGGGTTTACACTTTTCATGTATAAACAATTGCGTCCGGTAAAATGTTTTAACATACATTGAAGAGAGATTGCAGGGATGGCTCCTGGACCCGAGACACTGCAACCTCAGGAGATGCCACCCATACTGGGACATATTTATAGCACACTGGGGAGGGGGGACGGGCAACCCCACACTCACAGAATATTCAAGGAATTTCCTAGTACATTTCCCGACTGTACGACAATGCAAGAAAGGGTCTGTCTATCTTTGCCCGACTTATTTCCAGAAGAACAGCATATAATTTTTCATTCGTAGATGTTTCATAACCCGACTATCTGTGTCACAGGCTGTTGTGAAGTTGTAACATAAAGGGTTGCTATAAAATTCTACGATCTCAAAATATCTGACATTTGCCGATTGTCTACTAAGGTTTGACAACTGGACTCGTAGAATGATATACCTACAGGATCACCATGTAAAATCGTATGGGGGAACAAGACCCTTTCTTACAAGAAGGGCGATTGACATGGGCATATGAAATGCATTTCGAAAGTTTCACTTCGAATATTATGTTATAGTTTATACCAATAGCTATATTTAGCGGAAGTTATAAGTACTCTTGCCCAAATGATATGTATGCAGCTTCTGCCTCTGTACCTTATTTCCGTGGGTATCAATTCTGGTTCATGGTTTATCCTAATTGTTGCGTTATATAGCGAAGGGCACATGGTAATACATCATAAGGCTAGCGCTCGTTTTGTAGTAGTCGGTAAGTTCTATCCCAATAAACTAATTGCACTGCACAGACATCTTAAAATCTTATGACACAAAGCCTCTTTGGTCTATCGCTACACATATTGTTACAACGCTTTTAGACATCGCAGACGAGTACAATGTATTATAACGATGTCCTTACCATTTTGTTCCAAGTGTTCCAAGTTCCAAGTCACTGCCACCAACCAAGGAAAGTGCGAGGGGTGCTATGCCACCAAAATGCCGGACGATTTTATTGAGTTTCCTTCTCTTTTATACCTGGAAACCGACACCTCGCACGGCCATTGGTCGGCTGTTTTCGTCATTGAATTTTTAAGAGGGACACGCTTTGCTTTCCTTGGGGTTATGGGTATCTGCCAGAGCGAGTTAGCAGTTTCTAAATTTGTTTTCATTGTTTTTGCATACGAGTTCGTATTGTGATACGTGCGCGGCGGACTGGAACATACCAACCCGTTTTAGGGGTGAGTAGTTGCACTTATATCTGCAGCAAACTTGCACCCGTTTTGGAAGTCAACATTTAACGTTGGCATGATGATTACCATGGCTGAGGCTCACAGTCATTTCATTACTTAATACTGCTCGTTTGGTTCCTTTTCTTAATTTTTTTCCACGTTAAAGTTAGAACGCCCTAATGGATTATGACAGCTGGAGAGATATATCAAACCGGTACAGTTTCAGAGAGTGAGGATATTTAAATATCTTTCCTGATAAAAAGAGAAACTGGACAGTCAAAATGTTTATATGCGACCCCAGTGATGAAGGATGACTCTTCCCTTACTTAACTTTGCTACCCAATTTTCGGTGGAGGAGAAAATCAGGGTTTTCGTTGTTCTAAATTTGGAAACGTTCTTGAGTACCTTTGTTGCTAATGCCGACGGTTTGTCCATACGTTTTCATTACCTAATCATTATAGCAACATGATTATGATTACCTTGAATAATCGTTATGATGAGACAATCACGAATAAGTTAGTAGTTAGATGCCTTCCAGCCAATTAGCAAGGTTGCCACCCGTGGTGCATTTTCATACCAATTGAATGAATAGCTTAGGTTTAACAAAAGACAAATCGGAAAAATATGGTTCAACAAGTGGTACGGGTGGGCAGGCTAGTGTTTATTCCACGTGTCTGTCCATGAAAAAATGACATTGCAATCACTATTTCATAACAAATATGGGAACATGACGAACCGAGTCGAGCTTGAAGGCGAAATGCTATTCCAGGCCGCCGTGAACCCACTTTTTCGTTATTAGAAATAACAAATGGCAAATATTAAAAGATGTATATACATTATCCAAACATAATAATCTCCTAAAACTCACGTACACGGCGAGGAAAAACAAACTACCGCTACGCTGACACACAAACATGTATGGATTTGCGACATGTAATCGGTTGCTTCGTTGCGTTTGGTTGCTACTTAACGTGTTGTCCGCCAAATGTGATGTTTGTTTTGGCCAAGTTTTTAAAAATTAATATCTCAACTGTCGTTCAAACTATACCCCCGTACCCTTTCATAGTTTTGACCCACACGTGCGACGGAATTTGTCCCTGCAAAAGGTGGTAGTCCATAGCTAACAATGCGCTGACCAACATGGGCAAAAGATGATGTACAAGACACAAATTCTGTTGGATCGTGTGGATCAAACTCTCATTATCCCGTATCTGTTCTAATCGTCTATTCATCGACGTCCTCCTCCTCTCCACCCTTCAGGAAGCGGCAGAAGGCTGGGTAGTGGAAACGGCCCTTCTTGTCGACAACGTGACCGGCACCAGCCAGCAGCTGGTTCCACTGTTTAAGAAATAGACAGAGAGAAACTTTCAGTACATTTTTTTAAAAGCATGCTTAAAAGCATATGAAATGGACATGTCTTCACAAGATTACGGAACGACATTTCAAATAAGCCATTGTCTGATACACCATCTTTGTAATCATAGAAAACGCCAGACAATTCTCACCTCTTCCTCCTTGAACTTGTCACCCTTCTCGGTGAAAACTTCTTTAACTCTGTAGGAAAAGTAATACAATGATTATCTTTATTGTGTATGTTCTTGCTAACATGAATAATCATAGGCATATCATCTGCAGTGTTGATAGTGAATAAGGCTAGAAAAAAAACAAGCATATATCTATGCCATCACTACCTATCTATCGTATACATGTTATCACTAGGTCTATCGTTTACAAAGTAGGTAAACGTATAAAACTTTGTTACCATGCTATTTCTTTGTCATGTAAACAATTTCTGAAAAATAGAATATACATTCAGATGCAGTATCCCTGATACTAGAAAATATTAGCAAGGCAATATACGGAACATGATGACGACAACACGTACAGGGCCTTTGGTAGAAATCCCTTGTTCCTGGGGTCGAACTGCTTGAAGGCACCCTGGAGGGCACTCTCGGGGTCAGAGCCGGACATCTTGGATCCGAAAAGGGCCAGGAAGACGGTGAAGCTGATCGGTTCTGATGCCTCTCCTATCATCCTGTTCACCTTCTCCTCATCTGGAGGCTTACCTGCAAGAAAACAGAAAGGATAACATTACTTTGGAGAGAAAAGCAGATGTTACGACACTGGCAAATTGGACGTAGGTCGTCGTACGATTTTGATACTATAGAATTTTCAGGAAATCAACCACCGATAAGTAACTAAGACAGCCTTTCGGTGACAAGACAGCTGAAGTTTATGGGATACGTGCAGACACAATAAGATATAAAGAAGGAAAACCTACCAACACACCATGATCACTATGCTTTTGTCGTGTTTTAAGTCAGTTCATATACCTATGTGTCCTATGGAAAATTGCCACTATTGTCATAATTAGCATCTCTTTGTTTAAAATGGTTAACTTGAAAGAAATTTACTTGATTTTAATTCCACTATCTTTAAACCAAACTGCCCATACTGTATTCATGTTTATTCACTGCATCATATACACATTCTTTCTAGTGCATTGAATATCTGGTGACCTGTGGCTAAGTGTTTTTATCAGGAACATAATATACTGTTTCGATAATAATTAGAAAAGAATGTATGCATCACTAATATGATGAGGGCGTCTCCGTTTGTCTTTCTGGATGTGCTTTTTAGATCCCATTCGTGGTAAACTATCTCGTGTTGTTCGGAAGCCATTTTGCGTAAAATGATAGCATAAATATGTCCGCGATCAGGACGACATGGTTGAGCTAATTTTGGCTTCACATAGATGAATGTGCAGAACCCTAGCTAAGGGGGACTAAAATAAAACCGTCGGACACCGGAGCTCCCAACTTCACAGCATGCTCAGCAGCCGCCATGTTGTTTCACCTGTTACATGCAAATCATGGCTACCCGGTCAAACGGTACCCCAACAAGAAAACTATGCTTTTCCTCTGTACGCCAGATCACAATTTTTCCCTCTAAACCGTAATATTGACCTTCACTAGTTGTGTAGAAAGATAAATCTGTGATGTCCTTTGTGTCAAAATGTTTCGTAGAGCAGTGTAATGATGATGCTATCCTTGGAGGGTATCGCATCTTTCCCCACTAAAATAACTGTCACCGATACATGCACGTCCGATCAGTAACACTCGATACCACGACCTCGTAAACTATTTCTCATGGCATTTTTCAAATGGGCCTTCCAACCATTCTTTCTTGTGAGTCCACCATTTGTATGATTTGGACGACCCACTTGGAAATCCACCAAACCATCACACGGAGCAGTGCCACTAGTATATTACTTTGTATATACCACTAAACCACTAGACACATCGACATAGAACATTAATCGATTATACCGCAAACTTTCACAACCTGATCTATTTCAAGCGTCACACCAACCCCAAATGGTCATGGACATCGTAACTACGATTTCTCGAATCAGAATAATATAATCAAGTTAATACACCGTTAAGAAAAACACTTGCCCATATTTGGTCATTGTCTCGTTTAACTGACAGGAGACATTGAAACAACAATACCCCCTATAACAACTCCATGCCGATGCTTTCACTGGTTATCTCTAAATATAGTCATCTTCACATACTTGACTGGATTCCAGAAGGTATATAAAACACATAGATCGCTACCCCTCCCTACTTTCTCTATGACAGTGATGGTCCATGGACGTTTATGTCTGTGATTTGCGTTGTTCGCGTATAGATGACGGAGTGATTTCCACTGGGATATCATTGCGTTAGGATGTATTCTTCACGAGAAAAGCCTTCAGGGCTGTGTGGAGTCATGGAAACTCATGCGTTTGAAATACTTCAAAAGTCCTCGCTATTTTTGTCCCAAATTGTTCCAAGATGGACGCTATATGTTCTCGCTATGAAGACTAGTCTAAAAATCTCTCAGTTCGTGATAGTTCGGCAGACATACCTAGAGAAGCGAAGGTGTCCTTCATGTCTTCTTTGTCGATGAAGCCATCTCTGTTCTGGTCCAGAAGCAGGAATGCCTATTGAGAAAGAAATGGAACGATTTGTTTCAACAGTGCTTAAAAATGCTCCTAAATACTATCTAACTTTGTAATAGCAAAATCAATATTGTAACCTAAGAAGACTTGTTCACATAGCATGTAATGAAGGGAGCAGCGCTGAAATTATTCATATATCTATTGCAGATTGTAGCACATAGGTCGTTTTACACTAATGTAAAATGATTAACCATTACGTGTATTTTGCTCACCTCCTTGAACTCTTGCACCTGAGATTGCTCAAAGACGGCGCCGACATTGGTGGTGGCGCGCTTGCCTCCCTCACCACCTCCCTTCTTCTTACGGCCCTGCACGGACGGACACAAGATAGAGAGCGTTTAAATCTTACGTTAAAACTGAGCCAGGTTACACTTATGTGGCAGAGGCTGTCATGATTGTATAGGACTGTTAATATCTGAGGGCTGCTGCGATTTAGGGTTTATCATGGTCAATATTAATATCGACCAACGGAGGCTACATGTACACTTGTAAGTCACACGCGCACACGATTTCCCTAATACTGTCTCCGTTATCTGAGCAAATGTTAAATTATTGTTATGAAAATCTCAATCGCTCAGTCTATTCAAGCCATTGACCGTTTCAATTTTCTGGCTGTTTTTATGACTGAATGTCACTGTAAGTCCGTTTGCAACATTGTTCACTTCAAGCGCCATTTTAATCCTACCTTCCAATTGTGTCCCGTACATTATTGGGCAAGCCTTTACAATGTATCAACATGTAAGTCTTGTTGATCTAACGTTTATGATGGTTTAGTCCAAGGCAGAGTATTTGCCCTTGCTTTGCCCCTGGATTCCGTTTCGTGCGAAATGTTGTTCCAGTTGTCCGTGTGACATGTATTTTGCGGGTTATGCCCTTCCGTTAACTGCCCAAGTACTTAACAGTGTGACAATATGTAAGGCACGTTATCAACTATAAAAGCAACAAATTGATGTTCATATCGAAAGGCTTTTTAGCAGTAGCCGATCTTCTTGGGTTGAGCTAAGAAGATGGAAGCCTCAAAGTTTGTAAATGCTCTTCTATGTCGTAAAATGAATCTATGGTTCAGAATATTACATCGTCTTTATAATGTAATGTAATGTATGCAGTACGAATTGATGTAAGACTCTGAGAGTTATGTTGTTCCAAATTCCGCTATCTAATTTTGTATGTATCATGTGACTCAACCACCCTGATGTACATTCCAATAGAAATGATTCTAACCCGTTGGTCTGATGTTGCAGCTAAGTTTACTCCTCTCCATATTTCAAAGTGGACCGGGCTAATATACTGATCATCATTGAGAAAAGAAGTACTAATTATCCTATCCTATTTTAATAGGTTGCTTATTGATCACTTCAACTGAGAAAATGTTTACATTTTTGGCGGGCTGGGCTTAATGGACCGCAGCCACTATAAAAGCAGGCATCTCGGAAATTTCACCATAAAACTGTCCCCGGGATATCCTTCCATAGAGACCTCAATTAGATTTGAACAGGCGAAATGATCAGTTCATGAAGGTCAAATGTTGAGAGTTGATTATTTGTTTCCTCGATTGGGCACCTGCCATATAATCAATCACGGACATGTCGCTGAGGTCGGCTTCTGCTTTATTCCACGGCACAGCGGCTCGGTTGGAAAATATTCAAATCCCCGGATATCCGACACATGCAGAGCGAAAAGCCCATAGCATAACAGCTACTTAGTAATTATGATATATATATATATGATTCTGCACTGCTGTAAAACAATTGGCCCAGTTCTCGCAGTGAGCACACAATCAAAGCATAACGTGGAGACGAAAGAAGAGATGGTAATTGGGAAAAAAATAGATCAAATGTCTATTGGCTGCAAGCTTTGATGTTGAAGTGATGAAAATCGAACGGAGATAGGAATTGGGTCTTCTCTCTGGGTGATCTGAACAGTTCAATTGGTCTCAGCGACCCCTGGTAAATTTATGGCTAAGGTACTTGACTAACGAGTAGACAGAGAGCCTCTGAATTCCGCACTTTTATGACTTCCGACTTTGTCTTTTATGTAGGGTATGTTCCTGCCGTTAGGGGCCAGTTAAGTCAGGTTGTATGCTTGGACAATGTACGTCTATTTCTATAGGCTTGGCTTCACTGTGCTTCACTGTGCTATGCAACGCATAAGAGATAAAGGTTATCCACTAAAAGTTTCCAACTTTAAAGCAAGTAACCTGGCTTTTCTGTATTGAATACAGCGATAGATAACAAAGGCAGAGTAGGCAGTAGAGTAAAAAGGCACTTACCATTTTCGTTCAAGGTAATCAGAGGCACCGAACCAAAAGACAATCTACAGGCGCGAGCTCTTGTCGGACAAGGAATCTACTCAGAGAACCGCTCTTTATGTACGAAAATGTCAGCAATTTTTAATCCGCCACTCTGCATATTCTACAAGCAGGCTGCCAGCGCTGATTGGTCCATAGTTGACAGGCGGTTGACAAATCGACCGTTTTTGGAAAGTGTAATTTTGTAGCTTGTCGTGTCCAGGGTCCTGTTCCGAGAATACGCAAATTCCGGGGACCACTATATCCCAAGAGAGGGAAGCACTTTTTCTGTTTCATAGAAACCCACCTCTAACGAAAGCAATGAAAACGAGTATAATGTTGGATGCGTAAAGTTTGTTTTTAGTTTAACTTACCATGAAATAACTTACCACGAAACTATTTGTGGGCATCCTTAGCTACTTCATCAAAAACATGTACCCCTCCTGAGGTTTTGGCACTTTCCAATCTTCCTCTTTAGTTCTGCATAATTGTGGAAAAGCATGCAATCGCCGATACATGATACCGTCTCCAACGTCAAGTCTGTATGATAGATGAGATTATAGATACCGCCTTGCTGAAAAATGTATACAAGGGATATGTGCGCGCATGGAAAACGCGTGTATATATAGAGCACAGCACACGCACACAATCGTTTGCTTCGTTTCTTAAGGATCCAGACCAGTCTTTGCGTTTGTTCGATCGTGTATGTTAGCAGGTGGCTCGGATGTGGTAGTCATGGCTGCAAAGCAGTAGGAGTAGAATGGGGTGCTGATATAGTAGGTCCTGTCACCGCGACTCATCAGCACATTTTATACGATCTTCCCGAAGACCGACCGCGACCGTCGAGGCACCCCGGACTTCACGGCTTAGGGGCCTGGTGTCTGTGGTCTTCATCCTGTCACGACGCTACTTCTGTCTTCGATATTGTTCAGTGTACTGATATCACTAAGTACCATACTTCTGTGTAAAGGAAAATCTTTTCAGAGCGTGTACGGACCTGGACAAGCCAGTTGTAGAAGATGCAGTGCAGTTTTGTAGAGGATTCGGCTGAGCGGTTTCGTCCAAATTGCATCTGAAGACTTTTGCCTGCATGCGGAGTGTTAGAACGATTAACCCGTTCCGGGGTTTCTCTGATCTTTGGGCTGGAAAATTTGCCTCCCGTACGTGACACGGCCAGCTGTCAGTGATATAGAATACGATCATCTTTGTAGTTCAAGGGCTTGGAAAGTCACTCAGATGATGTTACACGGACATAGAGATGTTTTCCTAAATCAGAAATAGACTGCCAGAGTGTTGGGATACAGTGATAGTAAATCTACGTAGTAGATGATAAAGATTCATACAGAGTGTTTCTATTATCTCTACCATTCGAACAGCTGTGAACAATGTGTCTGCTTAGAGGTGGTGACAAACGGAACGATCGGGCACAAGTGGGACCCCTCCCCGCCAGGGCCCCAACAATTTGTCAGCAAATTTCAAACGAGCCAAAGCCACCAAAGACGAATATACAGCTTCATATATGCAACGGTTAGGTAAGGATAGAAATACAAATATTTGAAAAATATATATAATATTCGGCACATAATTATCGCCAGTTCTTGGACACGACGTGTTCTGTTGAGGGCCTATGTCCATTCTCCAATACACACACAGAGAAGCGGCCAGCAAGTTCGTGGAAAGGTCAAATGTTTTCCCAGGCCAGACTGGAAGACAATGACATGTTGTTAGCGAAACACCCCAGCTATCTAAAGACTAGCAAAGAAAACTACGACACTGCAGGTATATTTGATAGTAGGATAGTAGATGCTATGTTTACGTTCAGTTTACATGCACGGTGAACCTCTGTGGCTAGATGTCCAATTTAAAGAGCAGCCGGTGTTCAATGATCGTTTGTACAATGACCGTCAATATATGTTTTAACGCGTTAATTAGTCTGGGGATGTAGAATAAAGCTAAATTTTTACAAAACATTTGCCTGTTGTATGCCAGAGACTAGTAGGAGCATGCATCTTGTCAAATACACAGGTTCTGTTCATGTCTATATTGTCTACATCTTTAAACTTTGTGAGCGTACAGCTAAGTTAATTCGAGCACTTCGCACAATCGTCGCTAGATGTCACTTTAGAACCGCAACAAAGCATGATCATTGTCTAGCTAGGACTAATAAATGACTAACTAGAGTTCCACGATCTCATACCTTCGCCAAATGATGTTAGCCTTTATGAATAAGAAATATACTAATCACCCTGATTATGCAAATAGGATCCTCAATTGCATGACTTATATCAGTCTGTTGATCATATTCTCCACCAAAAGACAGTCTTATCTTAACAAAGAATGCCATTTTCTCATAAATTATGCAAATGTGGTCCTTATTTGAATAAGTTATATTTAATTATGTTCACCCTCACTTAACTTTCAAACACCCCAAGTATGAAATTCCAGGCAGTTACCACTACGCAATTATAACATTTTCTCATTAATTATGCAAATTAAGTCTTCATTTGCATAATCAATATTTGCCTGTGTTTCTCTCGTTCTTAATAACATGTTACAAGCTTGAACTTCCTATCATGGAATGCAGCTGATTTATAGAATTTCCTCATTAATTATGCAAATTACATCAATATTTGCATAATTGTAATATCATTATGTCAAGCATCACTTAAGCTACCTACATACCAAAAATCACGATGATCCATCAATCGGTTCTTGAGTTATCCTCTTTTAAACATTTGTCCTTTAAACCCCCCTGCAGTTCTAGAGCAAGCCGCTAGGGGGCCTAAACTCACGTCACTTCTTCCCCAGCACAAGAGCTATCTGCCATCTAAATTTCATCACCATAGCATGTCTGGATCTTGAGATATCAAAACCGGAAGTTGAGCTGCAGTACCATAACAAGCCGCCAGGGGGCCCAAAATCTAATCATTTTGAGGTCTCACCAAGACCTACCCACCTACCAAATATCAAGTCAGTCCATTCAAGCCTTCTCAAGTTATCGTGTTGACAGACAGACAGACAGACACACACACACACACACACATACACGAACGCCCCTGAAAACATAACCTTCTTGGCGAAGGTAACAACAACAAAAACAGTAT